CCTCGTAAGTCACAATAGGGACTTCTGTGAGCAAAATGGCAAGCCGTTGGTCCCTCTAAATCACTTCATCATCAATAATAAATATCAATCCTATTGAAAAAAACTTCTGGAAGCATCTGGCATTCATGGTGGCACGACTTGTGAATGTCCTTAATGCCACCGAACCACACGCTCAGAATGATTAAAATGATACATTCCATGTCTTGTATATTTTACCAGAATTATAGAAAAGCAAACATCTATCAGTGAATACTATGAGACAAAATCTGTGTGCTGGTGACTTTAAGTAGACATAGATGATTCAGGAGCTCCTCATCTGTTTCGTGTATTACAAATGTAAATCTACAATGCAATCGAATGTGAATCATGTTCCAAATGAGAACTAGTCCTGGATTTCACAGAGTATCTTTTCAGTACCATTAGTCTGCTCTTTGAAACTAAAGGATCTTGCTCAAAGAAGTTTGAGAGATAAGTCTCCTCCATCCTCTCCTGAATATTCACAGTGCACATCAGCATATCACAGGCTTTAAAAGTATATGTTAAAGAAACCTGTTTAGCTTTGTTTATCCTAATGTTGCTAAGTCATTTTGATCATAGGCTCTTTTTTTTTAATCACCTATTAAGGTCCTGAAAACAAGCGTTCCAAAGAATCTGTCACGGGAGACAGGGGCTGAGATAGGAAGGAAAGAGTTTGTAGAGAAGGTGTGATCTGAGCCCTAAAGGAAAGGAGATACTTAGAGAGGAGGAAGAGCATCAAAGGCAGGAGAAATCCTAAGTAGAACACTTCAAAGTCAGTCTCCTGGAACTTGCCTCATCACACACCATTGAGTTACAGAATAAATGTCCTAAATATGCTGATAAAATCATCATTCTGATAGCCACCTGATGGGTAAACTTCTTCCGAAACACCCAACACACCAAAGACACTATGATTAATTATTTTGTGGAAGTTCTTTTAATTCCTTGTCATTATTCTATAGATGACAATGTTAAGGCCCAGTGAGACTATAACTTACTCAGTCATCCCTGCCAAATCAATGGCAGAGTATTCATTTTCTTCTCTGGGGCCAGGGTCCTGTTTCATAAAGGAAGGAGTTACGGTCTTTGTGTGTCTGCCATAGACACTTTGGAATTAAAGCAAAAAATCAATTCTTATTCAAGAAGAAGATTTCAGCGTGCAATAGATACGGAAACAGAATCAAATTAAGGAACAACGCAAGCTTGGATTTTAATGAAGCTCATCTTTGTTTCTTTTGCAGATCAAATTTTTGGCTCTCATCTGCACACAGTGTGTGAACGTGAAAATTCCACAGTTCCGTGGTTTGTAAAGCAATGCATTGAAGCTGTCGAAAAAAGAGGTGGGTAACTGAATATGCAGCAGTTCCCCCGTTTCCGCACCCGCTAAACAACCGCTACTCACGTTAGCCGAGCCCCTTGATTTGTCTGGGAAGCCATGCAATTAAAACTTGACTTGTGTTAATCGGGTAAGAGGATCAAGTTTCATATTAACTTCAGTTTGTTTTTACAATAGGGACATTAGTAATTCTCACTAATGTTCTTTTTTTTTTAATATTTTGTCTGTCTGGCATAATGTTGATTCAATTGCAAACTTCTTGTTTTCAAGCCAGTGATAAAACATTCATAAAATATCAGCACTCACAGTGTTAGAACCCTCCTAACATTCATGCTGGTAGACGTTGTGCCAGAACAATTTTTGGTAAGCCCCCAACATTACCCAAGTAAAGCAAATAGCGTTCCTGCTCGCAGACAGTGATATCCCATCTTCCACATGTTTCTGTTCAGCGTGGAATATGGCTAGCTGGCTTTCCTAGAACAATTAACAGATGCACCTCCAGTTTTAAGATGACCTGTGATTCCTATATTTCAACATTCTGTTTTTCATCTGAAATTATTGCATCGTACTGACAGAACAAAACAAAACCCAGTTGACTCATCATTTCTACACTGGTCTATCTGTGGGGTGTTTTTCCTTCAAACTATGACTTCATTCATTCAAGGTCATTTTCCTGGAAGATACACATAGTAGATGCAGAATCTTAAAAAATGTATTATATAAAAACACGAAGCTTCATCACCATCTGTTACAAGTTTACAACATATTCCCAGGATCTAGGGGGATATATATCATGTAAAAGATAGAGGTGTTTTCAGGAAAAAAAAATTGGTAAACCTATTCCCATTTCCAGCTCCTAGTCTCTTAAAACAATAGAACCAAGGGGGAAAAAGTCTTTCCAAGTAATCTGCTAAAAAAGAGCCATTTTAATTCTCTCAATGTTACCTGGCTTTATTATAAAAGCATAATAAAAATGGTCTGCAATTTCTAACTCCTGGAAATTCATACTTTAATTATAATGTAAGGACAGCCTTGGGATCCTGTTATTCCCACACCAGTAGGGAATGAGAGAATAACAAGAAGGGGAAGAGTGGGCAGGGAATGTGGATAAAGAGAGGGGTTTGGGGGAAGCATACCAACGTAGAGAGACAAGCAGACAGTGCAGAGATAAGAGCAGAACACAGAGCACGCAGCCTGAACACGAGGAGGGGAGCCTGTGAGGAATGAAGCCAACGGGAGTTTAGAAAGAAATGTGGTCTTGCTGCAAGTTGCAATTTCATCTAATTTTATAAACATCTATTTTAAGAATAAATATTATTTAATAAGTACTTAAACCTAAAATGGATCACAGAGAATAGTATAATATTATTTCCAAAAGCTAAGTTGTCATCATTTCCCGGAAATCTTTGTTCACTGATAAATACTCAGTACTGATGGCATGAACACTGTTATGTTAGATCAAAAATCCAAATAGGACATTGGGGGGAAGCTGCGTAGAGTAAGATGTGTGCATTTATAAAGAGGAGCTCCATACCTCTGGATTTATGTCTCTGCCCTCGGCAAGATAAAAACTCTGCCAGGTGCAGCCTTGCAGTGTGCAGGTACTATATAATATTCTAGAGTAGAAAATGTCAATAAATAGAAATGGCATCTTTTGTTCATGACATTTTGTTGGCGATTTTTAATAAAATAAGACAATGTTTTCGCTGACGGGAGCAATCACATCTAGCATTATATTTCATTGTCCCAATGTTTACTCTTAAAATGAATTTGTAGATCCAGCACTAAACAGGCGCTAATCACACATATGATTATTAAAATAATTCCTAAGCATTTTAATGAAACTCAAAGGCTTTAGAATTCCACAAAGCAACTGATAATTCAAAGCACTTTGGCAGTGTCAGCTCAAAGGAACTCTATGGAAATGTTCAATAAAAATTCAGAAGCGCCAGATAAACCTCTCACATCATTGCAAGATTTACAAGTGTGTACTTTTGATTATATTTTTCTATGATCATTTTGTTGGATTAATATTCTTACATTTATACGCCAATTCTATTTACTCAAAGTGTTGTTTTTACTAAATTCTGGCATAAAGCATTTCAGGACAGAAATAATTTATGTGAATCTAAGTCCAATGTTTATGCAGGCTTCTGATGACATTTTATGCTGGGGTTGGTATTAGGAAGTAGCATGTGAAGGTGCCAAGTCTCTCCGTACGGCTGGGACTCGGCATATCCAGCACCCTCCGTCTAATGGCCAGATCCACTTGTAGCCAAGACACTTGACTACGGAGTCATGGGAAATGCTTATGGACCAGACACGGGACGGGCATATTTAATGAAGACTGTGTGTTTACTCTTACAGACTTAGGAAAATGTCCTCAGTACTCACTACAGCAGCACATTGGCTATTATTAAAAAGATTTGTTTTCTTCCTTTTTTTTTTTTTTTTAATTCCTTGAGATTCTTTATTTCTCCTTAAAAAATTGATTTGGAAACTGTTCCTGTATTTGTGTAAAATGCTTGTTAGATGCTTAATTTGAAATGAATCATAATGAGGAAGGCAAATCTCCCCATTCACTTATTCCGTGACTGGTCTTACCTGTTTGCATTTGCTCATGCTTCTGTAGTCTCCAAAGGAAATTCTGCCCAGTAATTGGCAAAGAAGCACTCTTTGTCCTGCCTGGTAAGGTGGTATAAGTAAGCATTTTAAAGTTGCAACTCTTGGACAAGCCTAGGAGAAAATCTATTCATAAGCCACATGGAAACCAATTTAGCTGGTAACTTGTGTAGTCTGTTTTCTTACCTTGATTTGGTTCCTTTAAGTCCTCTACACCACCAGACCTTTCTCCTCCTCACCAACTGTTATAACTAGATTAAAGCCATTTCTGTGGGTTCTGACATTGTCTCCTCACCCTTGAAAATACACACAAAATTTGGAGGGCAAACTAAAGGAGCATGTTAGTCTTTAAAGCTCTTCCAAGTGGTTCCTTCTCCTTCCCCCTGCCCTTACAGTTGCAGACCGTGTATGAGATATCATAATTAGCCACTGAAAAATGCAACTTATGTTCCTTCTTCCAAAGCAATTGCTGTGGAAATGTTGATTCATTGCCTGGCTAATGCTTAATTTATATCCTTGCTAAAATGACCAAAAGCATGAGATTACTGATCATTTTGGAGGTCTGGAGAACAAGCTTATAGAGGAAGGCATTGCAATCTATTGGTGGTATGTATAAACAATCAGGGAGCAGTCCATTTTTCACTACTTTATAGAATACTTTGTTAAGTTTATAATGACATTAAATATGTATGGAAATTGCTTGCTTAAAAATAGCGTTACCTGTATCTGTTAGATACAAGGATCTACGAAACTTGAATGAACGAAATATAAGATTGGACAATTAAATTTGCAAATTCCTCTAGAAAAAGTGCTACAGACCTCATTGCTGAACATCACTACAGCCGCCTTCAAAACACTCCCCTTGAGAAGCCGTGCACCAACACCAGTGCGTAATCCACCCTTCAAAGTCACCTTGGAACCCTTCTTCTAGATTTCTGACAATTAACGTTGCCAACTCATCCTAGAAAAAGTGCTTTGAAGGGTGGACTAGGTGCTGGCGTTGGTGCATACTACATAACTTCCCACGGGGAGTGCTTTGAAGCTAAGCATAGTGATACTCAGCAATGAGGTATGTCGCATTTTTTCTAGGATGGTTTATGAATGTAATCACCCAGCCCTGCATATAGTCTGAACTGGTGTAATAATAGTAAGACCTTAATTCATAGTTTGTTTGTTTGTTTGTTTTTTTAATGTGAAGCATACAATTAACTATCCCTTTGTGAAGGTCCATTTTTCGGAAAAGAAATTTTACCCAGTACTTGACACATTATAACCACTCAATGACTAGTAACTGAACGAAGTAACAGACCCTAAGTAGTTCTTGAGTACCTACTGTGTGTGGTTCTCTATGCTGCTAGCTGAGTATACATAGGCATTAAGCAAACAGACATACGTGAGTATATGAGTTCGTTGGCATGAACTGTGATAAGAAAAGAGAACAGACACCACAAGCCAGAATAACCACTGCAAACAATAAAAGAGCAGGGAAATGCATATGCTTACAAAGGATACAATACACCTTCAGTAATAAACAAACATGGTCTGATCTTCCATGTCAGACCGGAAGTTTGATTTTGCCTCGTTTCTCAGGTTATTTTCTTGACACATTGTGACAAAGTAACATAAGGAGTCAAAAGGTGTGTGATAACTAACATGATATACATCAAAGGGTAAACTAGTCCTTTTTGTATCCAACAACACAGCACCACCCAACATGGATCTTGCCAAAGAATTCTTTTACATAATAAACGTTAACTAAATGAATGAACGTATTTCCACCCCGAACATATTTTAATGCATTAAATTTTTTTTAAGGGAATAGACTGATTTTTTAAAATTTAATTTGTCTTGGCATTCATTGTTTGGAACAAGGTTTAACAACTCACTTTTCTTTCATAATTTCCAGTTCTGGTTAATATAGCCCCAAATTATTTATTGATGTTGAAATCATACCTAGAGATCCATTGCACAACAATGTGAATATACTTAACACTGCTGAACTCTGTACTTAATAATGGTAAGATGGTAAATTATGTGTTATATGCTTTTGAGCATGACTTGTAGAAAAATGATACCATGTCTTCTGAATTTATGACTCCACGTATAAGGTACTTTGCAGAATGCAAGTTTGTCCTGTCTGTCCTTTTTCTAGAACACAAAATCCTATGAAGGGAACAATACATGAAGTTACATATCTGACTTGATGCCTAAAAGCCACCCTGGGATCCATAACCTTGCTTAAAGATTTAAGAAAGACCTTTAGTCTACTTCTGAGAAGGTCCTTAGCCTCGAAAACTTTATCTTTCAACTTGACTTCTTAGCAGCTGTTATACTTTTTTGCTGTCGTTTGTTTGACAGGATCCAGTTATAGGTTCCGATGTC